AATTTGGGCCGTTTTTCATAATTACACTATTACCAAAGGAATATTTGAATTATTTTATTTATTTTACACATAGTTATTTCTTGATGATTTTATTATTTATTAAAGAAGACAATGTTTGTTGGCACAAATATTTAATACAAATGAACCTTTTCAAAATTTATTTTTACACAATCCATTATTTTTGTGTAACACGGAGCGGGATTTTAAAGTGATATTCAAATTTAAAATGTTTTTAATTCCACAATATCTAAAAATTTAAGAGCTTAGGATTAAGCCACATTGTATTATTTATACAAGCGTTACAATTTGTTGATAAATTTGCTAAATAAAAATCCCTTATATAATTACCATTTGTTATTAATTATTTCATAAATCAATGATTACTTAATAAAAAATTCCTTTAATAGCTAAAAGTTACTACGTTGATCTGTCACGGATTTCGGATTTTTGTTAGGTAAGAAAGTGGAGATATAACGATCTGTACTTACCACACAGACCAAACGATAATAGTAATTATCTTGAATGAATTTGTAATCGTTAATTTGTAAGATGAAAAAACAGTCAGTTCCTTCTATTGCCGCGGTATACACCTTATTTATCAGGGCTTGGAATTTATTTCTAATGAATTACAAAATTAAGGCTGCACCTTATAATTACAATTATTATGAAAATTGTGACAGATCTCGACTTTCTATTACGCTACATTCATAAGCAATTATAGCCGATGCCATAATTCTAAAGATTGTTTTAGAGTTAGCCTTTCCGCTAATTGTTGTTCAAACAAAACCAAAAAAAACTATTTGACCGCATTCCAACTCATCAAATACTTCAATGAAAAGACATTATTTTAAACTTCGTAAGTAGTATGTTTATATTCTGTAACCACGTAAATCTTAGGATAGGTTCAAATTTATGATGACTTTCCGCAGGACCTAAGTGTTTTATTTTCCGAGTTGGCTTTATCCGTAATGGTTTTGTTATATAAAATATAATGTAAATAAAAAGTTGTAATCTTTAAAAGCTTAACAGCAAGAGAGCTTTCGTTTTTTCTTAGGAGGGGAAGAACCGTTTATCTGATTGTGAACTGCATTCGCGAAAGGCGTTCTGTTTTTGCTCAGAATAAAACTGGTCCCACAAGGTTCCGAGGTTTAAATATTCTTTAGACAGTTGTGAATCAAATGTTTAGGTGTATGGTGCTTTGATGAATTTCCAAATCGCCAGACTTTGCGCTACACGATGACGTATATTTTATTTATATTCTGACAGAAAAACTACCTTCCCGTCTAAACACCGACTACCACTCCTCACTACACCAAGAGGAATCTGTCTGTAATATTTGATAACGTAAATTCTCCATAACAAACCTTCCCATGAAAAAGTTCACTTTTGTTACACCTTTTTCAAAAACACTTCTATATATTGAAATGATTTTTTATAATTTAGTAGAGAAAAAATAAGCAGTTCACCGTAGGGTGCTAAAAACACCGAGGGACGGAAAAATATTTTAATCCGTAAAAAGAGTGTACATGTGTCATGCTTTCGGCTTGATGTCAAAGTCTATTTCTATAAAACAATATCAATTGACTGTTTTCACAAAACTTTTTTTTAATATCAAGGCTGATAGTGACTACAAGAAAAAATGTTTTGACCTTTTTGTCTAATGTTTTAATAATATTGTGGTTTAGAAGAATTATTATAGACAAGATGTACTATAATGTAAAATTAACATATAAGATATGTTTTGACTACAACTGATACAAAAAAAATTCTAACCGTGTTGTAGATCAACACTTACGCAACGCACAAAGATCTTCCGGGTTTAATTTATCGAGAAAATTTTAATTCTTCTAGAAAAGCATTCATTGCATGCAGAAAAATCTTCTGCTGTCTACTTTTTCGTATTAGTTGAATCATTATTATTCATTACTTTTACTATACATTGTGAACCAAATATTGTCCAATCTCTACGTTCTTTCAATAATGGTATAACGTTATTTGTAAGTTCGCTGAACGTGCATTAATTACTTACACTAATCCAGCTAAAGCTTATTTCAAAACTTTTTAATAACTGGCAATATGTTAGTATTATTTATTAATTACTAATTAAAAAGTATTATTTAGTATTTAATTATTTATAGGTATTATTTATCGTTAGTAATAATATTGATTATATGCTTCCGACGAAAGTTTTTACATTAATAAATATTGGTTATCTATTTTTATATATGCAGTAAATACTATTTAACAAAAAAACTTTAATAGTGATAGTGATGTGGCCCTACAATGCACAATGTAGCCTTAAAATGTACAATGTTTATAGTAAAGTACAAAATTTATCAACAATAACGATCGAAATATAGGGAAAGATTAATTGAAGCAATGTTTTAATTTAGTTTCTGTCAGAAGCTCGTCATTTTTTATTAATTGTAGCGATGAATATTTATAAGTGTAATATATAAAACAGACGTGGGTACTGAAACTTTTCGAAATCATTTTCGGTACATTTGCACAGCTCATAAATGTTGATGATTTTTGGTTTATAATATTGTAATGACATATTATGTATGTACTATTTATGGAACAACAAACATTAAGCGGTTGTCGCTGGCCGTCTGAGTTTTAAATGATTTTTTTTTCTTCTGTTTCACGCATCTTTGTCACTGGCCCTTTCATATTTTGACTCAAGGTTTTTAGCTACCTAACCTTTCAAAAGTACCTCAGGTTAACAAATTGTTTATAAAGAGACGAGAAAAACAAATACATAACACATAAAAAATTTTCACTTCCCACCTCTACTGGAGACATCGCTATTGACGACTGCCTGGCTGAAAACCCTGGCACGGTGCGTAAAGGAACCTCCGCAAGCCCCCGCAAAGAGCCTTGGTCCGGCTTGGTATTGGTACTAAATATTCCGACGACGCCGATATCTTATCAACTCCCATAACAGGACAAGTCTGTTAGAATTCACGCTAATAATTTACATTTCACCAACAGATCAAAATTCCATTGTATGGCGTAATAAATTCAATTTGTTCACTACCATTCAAATTGATCCTCTTCGTAGTAATATGTCATAGACGAATTTGTTTGAAAATTGACTTTTAATTTTAATCTTCTCGGCTAAACTGATGTTGTATTGGATCTTCTTGAGGTCATTTTACAGGTGAATAAAGAACATCACTAGTTGGGTTTCACCAAGCTTTCGGCGAATGTTCCGCCATTTTCAGGCCTAATTTATTAAAAGTACAGTAGTTACATAACACATCTTATATAAATACATTACAAAATACAATTACGTACATTACCCAGTTGTTAGGAAAGTTAAATTTATTGCACTTTTTTTAAGTGAAAGTGAAAATGAATCTATATACTAAAAACGAAAACAGTCTTGCTTAATCCGTTGGTTTCATTTTTTCATAAGTTAACTCTCAATCTCAGGAATCTCAGGTACATGTATTTCTTTATCACAGATACGTTATATATATATATATATATATATATATATATATATATATATATATATATATATATATATATATATATATATATATATATATATATATATATATATATATATATATATATATATATATATATATATATATATATATATATATATATATATATATATATATATATATATATATATATATATATATATATATATATATATATATATATATATATATATATATATATATATATATATATATATATATATATATATATATATATATATATATATATATATATATATATATGTATATACACAACTTTTTAACTTAAAATTATAATTTAACTAGCTACAACCATGTACAAGGATTCGAAGAAATTGAGACACACATCGGACGGTTATAACGCGGTAAGGGACCCACCCATCCCTGTGATTAGACACACCAACGTCACTTTGCGCTTTATTTCGAAGTTCAGTGGAATCACGTTCTGTGAAAATCGGAAATTGTTTATCCGGGTGTATGCATTGTTAACATAAAACTCCTTCTTTCATGCTAACAATCCCGCATCATAACGTTAAAACCTCATATATACGCATAAACAATACGCTATTGTTCTGAAATAAAGTTTACCATAGGCGAGACGTTTTGGGGCTTTCTGACGAATCGTAATGAATAGTGAAACAGTAGTAAAAAGTCAGGCATTTTATTGCCGAGCTTCACAAAGGCTTTAACAACTGCTACTAAGTGAACGACTGTTGGCAAAAAAATTACAAGTTTTGCCTAGTTTAATACTAAATGCAATTAGTATTTAACGTTTCGGCATTATTTTATAATTAATAAATCATACATGGAAATGGCAATGTGCCGACAACAAATTCAATTTTTACGATCCGCAGCTTTTGAAAAAAATATTTGAAACACTTCTATTTTTCTATTTATTCCATTTATTTTTGTTCTAGTTAATATTTTATAGGCTACAAAATTGCGACTGTTTATTATGTTGATATTCGTTCAACTTTTTAAGTTTGATGTTCTCGTCTAATGGGTTATTTTATCCAACAGCTCTCTTCTTTTCAATTGGCCTTATTTCTGATTAGTTTATAATACGTAGTTTGTGAAAAAGGATACATTTTGTGATTTATGTTTGATGAATTATAGATTTCAAGAAATGTATGAAATAACCTAATTTGAAAAAGGTAATAATAAAATTATTTATAAGTGATAGCAATAACAATGTATTTTCGTTATGGATATTCCAATCAAATCAATATTAAATATGTGAACAAAAAGGCCATTGGTCATCTTGATAAAATTAATGATGTGAAATGGAATGATATTTTTTTTTTCAAAATAAGTGAAACTTAACCATATCTCTAAGTTAAAATTTCCTTCTATTCTAATATTTACTAAATGTAGTCGACACCATTCCTCCGTATCTCACAACCGAGGCTATTCGGCCGGAGTTGCTTGGAGAAGAATGGAGCTAAATTGTGTTAAAACGCGTTGATAAACTATAACCGTAAAAAGATAAATTTCATTTCGCAGATGCCTCACGAGGGAAGACGTACTGAGAATTCACGACGGCCCGAGTCCGCTATCTCCGGTCATTACAATCCTTTGCAACCAAGGCTCCAACGCTGAAATTATATCGTCCGGAGATACACTGTACTTAGAATTCTCCTCCACTTCTCATTGGCCGGGGCATGGTTTCCACGCAAATTACTACTTCGTTCCTAGAACAGGTATAAAAGTGGTTCTAGAAATTATGTACGATGTTTTTTTGTTAATTTTAATCATAATTGTAACACGAATGTTTTATGCTGGAATTTTTAAAACTCTGCGGTACATAGAACTCAGTTAGCAAAACTCTGTTGTATGATTAAAAATAGTTTCCTAGTTACGTATTTTTTGCGTTATTTGGCCAATACACATTGTTTGCAAATTAATTTTCAATACATACAAATTTTAAATTGTATTCGGGATATTTAGGTTAATGTGATGTCATTTCTTCAATGCTAAATTACATTGTAAGTCGTTAAAAGTGCTGATTAGTTTTAAATGCATTTTTGACCATGATTACATAGTGAATATAATACGCACTACCATAAATTTGAACATTTCCACATACATATATCAATTCCGTTTCAATTTTAATATCATTATCGATTTTTGTTTGATAAATATTAAATTTAAAATGATTTTCAATTATATTTAATCTCTTATGGGTTTCAGATAAAAGAACGAAAAAGATATGCGTTAATCTATATTATTGAATAATCATGTAATGGGCACATGATTGGTAGTATGTATTAAGCTTCAACGAGCCTTGAAAAGTGGTACCAGCACTAAAAAGAAAAATGAGGTTGTGATTTTTAATAAATATGCCCATCACATAATGAATTTACAACAACAACCAAAATTAAAGTATAAGTACTTTCATTTTTCACTAATTTTACATGTTTAACGACTACAAAAGCAACTTTTTAAGTGGCTAATGACATTAAATTCAGAATTACACTTAATTTAGTAATGTGTGTTGTTTAGTAACCGTTAGTTGATGATTATTTGGCGTCGTAGGTTTAGAAAATATTTTCTTTATCGTTCCAACGTTTCGACCTTTATTGCGATCATCCTCAGGGCCTGGAATTTATAAACATTGTTCAAATAATACAAATACATGTGGAGATGTGAAAAAAGTGAGTTTATACAATGATAGTAATTTTAGACTCAAATTATTTGTACTCACTCAGTGTTTGTTTTCTGTGTCATTATGTGATGTTTTATGTTTTTATGTTCAATATCTCATTAGCACTCTCAACAGGACACACAATAATCCTACGCCTACACAGAAAATAAACATTTTGAGTGAGTCTAAAATTTCTAGCACTGTATAAATTCACTTTCTTCACATCCTACATGTATAATTTCAAAAAATGTATATAAATCCCAGGCCCTGAAGATATATCACAATAAAGATCGAAACGTTGGCACGATAAAGAAAATGTTTTTCTAAACCTACGTCACACCAGGCCGCATCTCACGATCTCCAAATAATCATAACTTAATAAATACATTTGATAACTTTTCCGATGAATAATTTATTTATGATAAACTCAGAAGTAAGGAACCCGAAGTTGTACCAAACGTTTTTCTTTTGACAGGAAATATGGATGACAAAACAGTTTCAATAATTTGGCATCGACCTTGGATATATATGATATATGCATGGTTTTCGTATCGTGTCACAGTATATAAAAGTCCAAATAATGATGTTTACAAGAGTTTCCTTTTTCTGAACGAAATTGTATATGTCAATGTGATGTAGGAATTTACAGTTTTCAATATGTATATATTGAAATTGAGTATATATATATATATATATATATATAATATTTCCTTTTCCACGATACATTGTTGTTGGAATAGTGTGGATGATGTAGTGTTTTCTGTAATTTTAGGGGCAACTCGAAGACTTGGACTTTTGTTGTCATGATGCCAGAAGTAGAACCAAAACTATTGATGTCCTACTGCTTACCTATTGAATGATGTTAGTTTTTAGAATGTGAATTTACCATTCTGTTGTTTATTTGAGAATTTCGCATTTTTCATTGAACGTGACAGAATAAACGCTTTATCTAATGTTTTAAAAATTCACTGGTTATGAACTTTTCTATTCATATTTTATAATGGATAAACCACATGCCATTGATAACTTAAAGTTATTTCCATTTGTCTCTGCTTATCTTGACTAATTTTCGCCCCCATTTCGCCATGATAATTTGGGTTGGAATGTTTATGTATAACCGGGATCGAATTGGTATATAACACTTCCGGCACATGCTCATGAAAGCGTGTCGCGGATCGTGAATGTCCTTTAACTATTCAGAAACAGCACTCGCGAAGAGAAATGGGATTCGAAAACTAATTATCTTCACCTTCTCCCCCATGTTTATATGAGAAGGTAGAACAGGTTTAATTTTTAATATGTAGTATCAACAATTAGGTAATATAATTTTTTGTGCAGAAAAATAAAACAAATACGTGTAAAAAAATTCTCTTTTCCATTCATTTATAAATCAAGCGTTCAAATGTTTGAAGATTAGTTTAATTTTTGTAAAGTTAATGTTTGATAATGCCAAGCTACAATAAATTTCATAACATTTCTGAACGTTGGAGGCAGTGATTTACTATGAATTCTAAACTAAGCCCAGGCACGAAATCCTTTTAAGAAAAACAATATATTCGCAAATTATGTCTTTAATTTTAAATGCGATTTTAAATACAAATATTTAAGTTGCATTTATGGAACAATATAAAAATGCCGCAAATAAGCAACATGCAAAACAATAGAATAATTTTCGTTTTATACTATGAAACAATAAATAATTTGATTGAAATCGTTTCTAACGGTACAATTACACTTTATCGAAAATAAATACATGTTCACTTGAATGAAAAAAATGAAATTGCTCGCCCGATAACATCATTTTAATCTTCATAAATCCCATGTTAGAGCGAGCCGTTGGTTTGGAAAAGATTTAATTCCCTTAATAGAATGCCATTAATTTTGGCACCATTAACATAATAGGATTTTTGTCCTAAGAGAAACAATCATTAGTTATTGTTAAGACCATTTTCAACCGATATGTATTAATCTCATTTTTGACGTGGTTTAGTAAAAATCATGTAGGTTTTTGATTCGAACATGCTTACATTTTTGTTTTTACACTTTACACTTAAGAGATATTATTTATTATCAATTTGTTTAATCATCAATATTGAATAGAAGTAATAATACAAAAACAACGTCGCATTTGTAAGGTGTAATTTTTTGATCAGACAATGGCTGTAATTGGAATTTTACATTTTAAGTTTACCAAAATTGTATTATTTTTATTGGCTATTTTCTACATCTACATCCAATATCTTAATATCGGCTAATGTGGGTTTTAAAAAGCGATGTCATGTTTATTTAGCGATTTATGTACCAAGACAACGTATTCTCTTTTTTTAAAGTACATTACTTTTACAAAATGTACTTTTTATTTTATGTACGAAATGCGTAAATTTTATATGCAAGTTTTCCTGTTTGTTGCTTCAAGATCTGAAAGTTTTCTGTCTTCCGGCGCAAATTACCCGTCTCTAAACTTGACAAATCACCTCTAGGCTCTCTTTTCCAGACCACATTTTTATTCTTTATTGTTTCACGTTCTTTTTAGTTGTTAACTATCATTTTTAACGAGATAGGAATTTTATAAATATAAATTTATTATTTAATAATTTTGTATTATTACATTAGTGCATCTAGAAAATATTCCTATTAATTCGAAACAGCATCAAACAAATAACGGTTCGATTTGGTTCCATCTAACTAAAAGAAATACAGAACAGTAACTAAATAACATTCCAGTAGTAGAATTTTAAAAATAAATGGAATATGCAAAAAAAACCTAATGAGACAGAGTAATGTTTAAAGTTTTAACCAAAAATGATTTAACAAAAAATTGTTTGCAAATAATGGTTTGAGAAGCACTTCAATACTTCAGTTTGCTTTCAACAAAAACCGATCAAGTCATCTTTTAACAGCAGAAAAACGTGCAGTAATTTTTATGAAAACAGGTGAATTATGTTTTTATTTTATTTGTAATTCATAATTCGCGCCTTGATTTATCTTTAATTATCTTCATCGTTGTGCAACACTTTAACATACCCAACACTAAAACATTTTTTCAGCTGATTATATGTACTGTTTACTTGATAATTCAATGATTTTTATTATTCAATTTTTGTTTGAATAATTTTTTTTATAATTATGGTTTATTGTGTTTTGCTTATTGCTCAAAACAAGCATTTTATATGCTAAATTCAGAACTATTTGAGCAGGCAGAGTGCTCTAATGGTGAAAGCAGAACAACATAACATTTAGGAAAGTTTCCCGCCATCGCCGCGAGACGTCAGCATAAACTGAGACCAGTTTTTTTACATGGCCTTTCTCAGTCGGCTTGCTTAAATATAACATAAAATAATAAAGAAAAATTCAATTACTTTATTTGTTGTTTTATAACAAATATTAGATATAGTCAATTTGTTTGGGGACAATACAAGACGCCATATGGTGGGAAATAGTTTTACAGAGAGAAAATAGAGGTAGGGAATTGGTAGCTTTTCAATTATTAGTGCCACAAAATATGATTCATACGAATTTAAAAAATGTATTATAATAATTTAATAAGTTGTCAAAATTTCTTATTTTATATGATAGAGAGTGTCTAGTTCCTGGTTATATAAGGTTAGATTATAACTTCCTTCATTAGAAACAGGTTCATTTACAATTATAAATTATTGTTTCTATTGTACATATTTACCTAAGTCATTGCACATATTTTACATTTGTAAAATTCAATAGAAAACAATTTATTCTAATAACGTACTTTCTATTATTAAAAACCGACACCTGTAACATTTTATATCACTTTACATTTTTGATATACTTGGTGGACAATAGGTGATAACAAAGTTAAGAAGATTGGCATCAAAATATGTTTGTCTATAAAATATTTTTTATAGTCTCTCACTTTTTTCTTTATGGCTTTATTTGTCAATCTTTATTCAATATTCATTTTTACCTCTTATATTGCTTCTGTTTTTCTATCCTCTCCTATAGCAGTTAAATATCATTTATAAATTTATCTATTTTTCATAATAAAATTTTCATTTTCTCCTTTTTTCTCTCTTCTTTTCTTTCCCTATGCGACCCATTTTCTATTTTTATTTTACATTTGCTAGTTATATATCTAAATCCAACTGCGATATTTTGCAACCAATTAATGAAATATTACGTTTTTCGAATTTTATATATAATATGTTAGTCTATTCACGTTTAAATATAGTAGATTGGCAGATGTGACTAAAGATTTTAAACTTTGTGGCAGTTCTTAAGTTATACTTCTTAAATGGATTTATGTATAGCTTGTAGAGCTCTTGAAATTATATACTTTAATATGTGTTTTTCAATATGGTCTAGGAACTTGGGTAAGAAACGTTGTAAAGATAAAATTACTTATATACCTTTAATAAGTATTTATTTTTTTTTAATGTAAACTTTTTATTTCAGAGATTCTTGAATACAGTGGGATTGGGCCAGCAGTTAGCGCAACGCGTGAGTGTTAAATTTAGTTACACTAGATTTTAATTAATTAATGTTATTATTTTTGTATAATTTCTGTTTAATTGAATGTATCATCCTATAATGGTAACAAAGAATTGACAGTCGGAATAAGGTATTTGTCATTTACTTAATTTGTCAGTGAAGAAATGAGATATCTTAAAATACTTTTACAGTACAGATATTATAGTTCCTGTTGTCAAAATTGTATGATGATATGATCATGCATTTTCAAAGTTAATCGTCCCTTCAATTGTGCTGGATAGCAATTTTCCCTAATTAAAATGTTTCATTACCTTAAAATTTGATACAATTTGAATATATGTATCTTAGACCAAAAATTTAAAATGAGATATAGTAACTTGATGTGGCATTACAAGGGAAAAAAGGACTCTTTCATACCAAACAGTTTTATAATAGTTTCGTATTAAAAGCGTAACATTAAAATGATATTAAATTTTGTTTTGTATACAATAAAATAACCAGTTTTATTTTGTTATGATTATTTATAATTTATTTAACACTGTAATAATTAATTAAACCCATGCTGATCTTTAATTTCGTTTTTAATAAATGCTAAAATTATAATGAACACCCTGCGTTAATTGCTAGCCAAAAAATAATTAAAAAATTAATTTATGCAAATCGCATGCAAATTAAATGTCGTTCTGGGAAAATGATAATGTCACTAAATATTTTGTATTATATTTAAATATTTCTATTTTATATTTTTATCTAAGTTTAATTCGTCGCCATATAGATGGGCGAAGATAGATTTTCAAATTTTTATGTTTTTAATTATAATTAAGTTACCTATCGTTAAATCTTTGTTTGTCTGTATGTCGTGTTATTTGTATTCCTGTCGCTATTACTCTGTTCCTATTTTTCTATCACTCTCTTTCTCTGATTTTCTTTCTTTCTACCTTCTCTTTTCTATTTTTTTACCTCACTATCGACTCATGTTTCTTTCCTTATCCATTCATTATTGATTCATTTTCATTCCTAAAGAAGTTTGAATGTCTTCGAACAATTTTTAAAAAATTAATGCTTTTATAGTTTGAATGAATATTTTTATTCGGAGAAATCACAAATTTCTTTACCACTCTCTCTCTCTCTCTTTATCTATCTATCTGTCTATCTATCTATCAATCCATCATTCGTTTTCTGTTTTATTTATCTCTAGCAATCTAGCAAAAATCTAGCCAGATTTTTATCATTGTCCATCCACAATATTTTCATTTCTTGCTTTCGTTTATAAAAGGTCGATGTTCATTAAAAAAGACTGCAGATTTTTAAAAACTTAATATTTTTTTATTGTTTAAACGAATGTTTCTATTCCGTGAATTCAGCCTTTCAATCTCTCTCTCTCTCTCTCTCTCTCTCTCTCTCTCTCTCTCTCTCTCTCTCTCTCTCTCTTTTTCTCTCTCTCGCTCTCTCTCTTTTTTCTCTCTCTCGCTCACTCTCTCTCTCTCTCACTCTCTCTCTCTTTCTCTCTCTCGCTCTCTCTCTCACTCTCTCTCTCTCTCTCTCTCTATCTATCTTTCCCACTTTCAATCTATTTATCTATCTACCTACTATATTTAACCATATATCCATATGTAATGTTTTCAGATCTTGCTTTTAAAAGCATTCATTTATTAAAGGTTTGTGTTCATTCATAAAGAAGTCTGAAGACACAGTTTCTTTTCGTAATATTTTATAGATCACAACTCTTCCATGAATTATAAACTTTGAAGAGGAATCTTGTAAGACTTGGAAAATGCATTAATTGAATAAATGATGCTTTTTTTTGGCAAGAAATCTCTACACAGCATTTTTATGAGGTTCAATCTTTCTTCCAGTCAATCTCAATTTCAATATCTCTCTCTCACTCTCTCCATGTATTCATCTATCTATCTATTTATTTCGCAAATATCGCAAAGTTCAATCTTCTTCGGTGACTTTGCTCTCTCTCTCTCTTTCTCTCTCTCTCCCTCTCTCTCTCTCTCTCTCTCTCTCTCTCTCTCTCTCTCTCCCCCATTCACCCCCTCTCTCTCATTCTTTCCCTCTCCCTCCCTCTCTACTTTATGTATTTTGCTCAGTCAAAAAAGTTGTGTTGTAAAATTTTATATTTGAAAGATTAATTTCCATATAAAAAATTTATGAACCTAGATTTCCTTTCCTTCTTAAAAAATGACTACTGTTGTTCGTATTGCAAACGCATATTTTTGTCAAGTAATTTTTACTGTACTGTAACGTGTAAATGGTGTAGAAATGAATACGAATGATTCTTTACGATATCGTTACGTTTGTTTGTAAGGCTATGCAGTTTTTCGAAACAAATTACTCAACGAGACTTAAATTATATTATCACTCTGTGAGATAAATTGGTTTTCCTTAGTCACATCAATTACAGAGGTAAATTCAGTCTTGGTGAAGCTGGTGGCAAACATCCGGTCATTTATTGGGCAATGTCCATGGTGTGAAATGAAGTCCCGAATCTGTAGCCATGGTGACGACATGCTCACCATCATTGTGGTCGTTTTGATGCGGGTTTTCCCTTGTCACCAATTTCCGCATAGAGGAAACTAGCAAGCTAGATTATCACATGTTTGCCACTACTTGATATTTTAATCGTAATAGTTTTACAATTGTAATCTTTTTACCGAATAAAAATATTTATTTTTTTAAATTTTATATTTTTTTATGCTTTTATTCATGACGGTGTTAAAAGTTCTGTTTATTTTCAAATATAAAACAACTAACCGATGGAATACAATTGTCTTAACTGATGCTGACTAAACAGAATCTCTATTGAAGTGTTCCTCCTTTTCCTTAAATTATTCATGAGACGGCCACTCGTAAGCCTAACCTTTATATAGCCCTAACCCACTTTCCCACAATCATCCCGATAATGTTCCTTTTATATCTGTCCTTACTTCGAGCGGGAAAGTGAGCCGGATGAACGACACAAAACCATCGTTATAACCCTACTAAAAACGGCTAACTAAACAAAGAGGATGTCAGAAAATTCTAAATTGGGTCCCTTGATGGAAATGGATATTCGCGCCAGGAGCATACGGAATTTTAATTAGAAAACATAAACAAAGGAATGTAAAGATGATTTTCAACGACAAGTTTAGACGCGCGAGTTAATGTAGTCGTTTCAACAGACTTCCTAAAATTAAATCCTAAAGTTCTGCATATGTATGTACGAAGGGGACAAACTCATTTATATACGGCTAACAAAATGGATATTGATTAAACTAGGCTTTAAAATTGCGTATATTTCTTTTATAACGTCAACTGGAAGTATTGAAAAACGTATATGTCTTGAATATATAAAATTCACAGTATATTAAAACCAATATCGGATCATAATATGAATCCAAAATAACCTTAAAATTACAAATATTCCTTAGATGATGTTTAACAAATTTATTTAAGTATATACTTAGGATGCACATAGATTTTTATTCTGATCACATTAGATCAATTTAAAACCTAAATGTGCTCTTTTGATTTCTTTATTATGGATATAAAGAATAAACATCATGTATTAGTGATATCTGCAAAACTATTTTAGAGATAGTCGGTTTGCAAAAAAATAAAACAAAATTATTCTGTGGTTAAATGCTGTTGAAAATGGCTAACTTATCAGAGTTAAATAATGAAATTATATTTAGTGGTTATTGTCCAAACTACCTCTTTCAATTAATTAATCTTTTTATGTAAGGGTTTGGTTGAAATGAAAAAGCTAGTGTCACGAGCGGGATTCGAACCAACGAACTTCGGCTAAATACGCCGCTGTTTGACCACTTGAGCTATCGTGACTTCGACGTCCACATCATATGCTACCGAGAATCGAATCCTGATCACACGTCATTAGAAAAATGGCATAAAGAGGGAAAATTCGAAAGGTTGTTGGTTGAGATGAGGAGTTGGTGTCCGAGTGGATCGAACTCACAATAGTTCAAATGGTAGAGTAGCGGCGTATTTAGTCGAAGGTCGTGGGTTCGAATCTCGCTCGTGTCACTAGCTTTTTCATTTCAACCAAAACCTTACATAAAATGATTAATTAATTGAACGAATGAAAGTAATATAACAGTGAATTATTTACATAAATTATTAGTGATTTGCTAATTCTGTATAATTTTGCATTAAAAATATTTTTTAATGTAAAAACTTTACACGAAAAACCTTTAATACAACATTTTTCAGTATTACAAAAAAAACAATTTACCTAAGTCTGAACTGTGGACAAAGCTCTACTTTTAGGGAAATTGGGAATAATTTTTTTAAAAATTAATTTTACATACTAGTAAAAACAAATTTATTTCATTATATGTTACATGGCAATTCTTTACACAAAACGGTCCTTAATTATTGTGGATACTTTCAGGGCGGGTAAACTTCATTGATCATTGCCAGCCATCACAAACAAGTTATGGACAAAATTAGCTCACCACCCTTAAATTTTAGTGTATTTAGGTTTATTCATATTTTGCATACCAAAAATATGGTTTGTTGTAAAAATTAGAAATTTAAAAATAAAATGTTTATTATGTAATTCTAAGAAAACCTATTATTTATTCAATAAAGAACATAAAAACATATAAAAAAAAGTGTTTGTCCCCTTTAATAACGAGTATTTTCACCTCTGGCACGAATCACGTCCGTTAAACGTATTTGCATTTCTTAGAAAAGATTTAAAGTAAAATCCTTAGGAATTCTTTCCCGTGTTATCAATAATTTCGCCGTTTTCAATTCCTTTAGGCTGTTAGGAACTGGATTTCGATGTCACTTCCAGGTGGCCAGAACAATCCCTCAATTCCAATCTCATTCAGGTAGTCATCGACCATACTTTCTCTATGACAAAATAGGTAACACAGCTCTTTACTTACCTCAGCACTTACGAAATAATGTTAAAGTAGTTTCACTATCATTGTGTTGTACTGAACTGGCTTCATAAATGCATGTAATATTATGCATGTAATTACAATTGGTGTATGCAG